TCACAGGTGATGACCAGGTCAAACTTCTCCTTGCAGCTCTGAAAGCGCTCTGGCTTTGATTTGATGCGCTTGTTGCGGTCCAGCATGTGCAGGATGCCATTCTGTGTATATCTGAGGAGTGGGGAGGTCAAGGAACACAGCAGGAGGGAGAGGAACATTTCAAGGTAATACAACACTCATGAGATTAGAGGCAGGATTTCAATCAACATTGATTAAGTGTGTGTGTGTGTGTGTGTGTGTGTGTGTGTGTGGTGGTGGGGGTTAAAATAAGATTAATTAGTCTGAACCAGATCGCAGATTTAGTTTGCATTTTTGGGATTATGTTTCAGTCAAATCATAGAAGCAGGACACTACACACCTGTCTGTAAAAAGTGTTTGCACAACTGCAGCACCCTCTAGTGGCGTCTGATAACACTACTATTTGTTAGTGGTTTGCTGAGAAACCAAAGGTAGATACAAGAATGGCACTTCAGGGCAGTACAATGTGAAAAGTACTGACAGCAATTATTCAGTTCAACAAAGTTTTAATATTAATGCGATTAACAGATAAGTGTGATACTGACAAGGCAACATTTCCTTAATTAGTGTCCAACACTCCACGTGTGTACACAGCAATCTTGCTAGGCATAGTTAAATATGGTGATGGGGGCACTAAAACAGTGGACTAGATCTGGGTGAAGTAGTACTGTACATGCAAAGTCACAAAAATATAACAGTTTGATGACAGATGGTCTGTACACCTACCCACAATGCATTGTGATCTCCAGGACACCTAATTAAAATTTAAAACAAGATACAGGTGCAGAATACAGATTTAACCTTAACCTACCTTGGGCTGGTGAAAATATACATCTGCAATACATTAATATTTGCATTAGCAATAGGACAACAGCAAGTAAACATTGGGTGAAGTACTTTGGACCTACTTTTAACCCTAAATTTTCAGAGATTTTTATAACCAGAATAAAACGTACGACATTAAAAAAAAAAAAAAGGTTATCTGGGAAAAACGTGAAATACTCCAGAAAAACAAAAACACCTGAAATTAATACACAAGGGGCAGGTTTAAACACTTCGCTGCTATGCCCTACACTATACTCACTTGATGGTGAAGGCATGATTTAGTTCTAAAACTGTTTCAATGAAGACCAAAAACCATCAACCAGTAGTTATAGCAATCACTGCAATAAAACATTCAGTGGAAATTAGGCACCATTACAGCTTTAACTCTTTTGTCAAATTAAAGGTTTTCTGAATACAAGGTTTTTGAATGCCCTGGGTTTGGTAGTATATGCATATACACACTCACTATTGAGTATATTGTAATTCATCATCTTTAACTTACCTTGGGACACAGTATCAATTAAACATTTAAGAGGTGTCTCAAAGTCAGTTCTAAAACAGTACTAACTGTTCTGCTCCCTGATTAATGTACACCTATCTTGTTAAACTGTCCTTGAGGGTCTGGCTTTTGTTAAATGCCTTGTGTGCATGATCACTCTATGCTAACAACCTTCACCTGTGGTTGTTTTCTTTACTTTACCCTGACCAATTTTTACAGTGTCTAGAACTGATGCAACAGATGTTCCAATTAACTGCAATTCAATTCAGATCTACAAAATAACAAGTGAACCAGATCAAGGTGAATACCGGGGGGAAAATATTTGTCCAATTTGTGCAAGTGTCTATTGTGACAGAGGGAAAAGCTGCAACATACTGAAAACGCCATTTGCAAAATACAGCTATGGCAACAACAAGACTTGAAAACACAAGCAATATAAGATAGGCTGTTAGAGCAGTCGATTCATTTCAATAGTCTAATTCCTCATTACCTCAGCTAAAACTAGATGATCTCCACCTAATTGCACATACTACTGCCCAGGTGTGTTGCATTGTGCTTCTCCAACCCCTGTATGTTAAAAGGCTTTATATTCAAGCACACATTTTAAAATCCCTGCACATGATTTACCCATCGGTGCTCTCCAGTCTGCTGTGCCGTTCCAGTGCCAACACACTCACATGAACTCCCACAGAGATTGTCATCTAAACATAAAACTGGGCGTGTGGGCCGTGTTTACTTATCTGGCTTCTAATGTGTATGTATGAAAGAGTGAGTGAGAAGGGGATACAGTTCCTTGTCCTTGCGGACCAAGTCGTTGTACATCTGTTCATATGTCGTTTTGAAGTCATAAACATTTGGCTTATCCGGGGCAGGACCGGGTAGCTTCACATGAGACCCTGTCCCAAATGAACGCACATCAAATCCACGTTTGCTGCAAAGAGGAAAGAACAAGAGAGTAAATTACATAAGAACTCTGGAACTAACACTGGAAAGCATTACATACAAGTAGAACACTAACTGGCACATCTTTCCACATCTGCTGAATAACCTATAACCCGCCTCTTCAGATGTAAGAGCTAAGCAGGATATTCAACCAAAGCAGTGGCTGTTGTGTGTCAAATTAACTACTCAAGACATCACTGTGTTGTCATTTCCAGCTCTGTCCCATGCTGCCAGAACTTATCTCCCTTTATTGAAGAAAAAAATTTTTTTTTTAAAGAGAAGTATTTGTTTTAGTTCAGCAGATCACATGGGTGACCGTTTGTCGCCAACAACCTATTTTGGGTCAGTGGATCATCTAATCCCATAGAGATGTGCACTACTACCCCAGTAAGTGCGACACCTGGGTTTTGCTTCAGATTCCCCTTGTTGTTAAGCAAATGTCTAAGGAGAACTTGGAAATGAGACGTGTGCACTGTCTAAACTGCACAGCCAGTACATGTTTTGTCTAAGAACTAATAATGACAATCGAAATTCCTAAATAGCGTCAGTGAGATAACTAAAGAAATAAGCCCCTCAGTGTCGCATATCTGCAGTTCATCCCTTCCGGAATTTTTTTCCAGGAGGCGCTCTTGTCACCATGTTGGAGGGGAACTACCCAACAACTTGGGCCGGTATTTTGAACGCCCCTAACCTGTTTGAAGGTAAAACAAATGTGGACGTTTAAGTTAGGCAATTGTGGCCCTGAAACCTAAAAAGCAGTCATATAGTAGCATCGATGTGACTGTCAGAGGAGCGAGTCCATTGTTAAAATGCGTTGAGGCCCGGCGGACATCTGTCATCATGTCGGCACGGCTCGAAACCGCACGGACTCCGTTTGCCGCGGTCTTTTTTCCTGTTCTCCTCTTCCCGGTGGCTCATCTTTACCTGAGGATATTGTGAGCTTCCATACTGCGGTTCTGGTTGCTCGAGCACACAACCGCTACACGCAGCGGGTGGCTCGGCATTGCGGCTCTCTGGCTGAAATCAACCGATACACGCTGCTAGAAACTAACAGAAGTGGTTAGTTTGGTCCCTGTAGTAAAATTTAACAAGAAAAAAAGCTATGTTAAACTAAACAATAAAGCGTTTCTAGTACAAAACTATAGGCCGTGAACTTCTTCCTTTGAAGCAGGAAGTCAAAATGGCGGAGCCCTGCGTGAATACGACTTTATCTAGTGATGTAATTTAGGGGCGGAGTTTCATGTTTGTCGTGTCAAAAATGCGGTGACGTGTCCGTGAAATCAGTAAACAAACATGCAGTGAAAAATGTGATTTTCCATGGCACAAATGTTTTTTAACTTAAGCACACTTTTACTGGACACTTTTACTACTATTTGTCATCAAAAAGGCTAATGTTTACCTACTTAAGATGCAGATTTTTGCAGCAAGAAACACCTTAATCTAATTATATTATCTACTCATTATGAATGCCAGTGGTGTGAGTATGGACTTTCCATCCTGCGCTGTTTTTGAACCATCATTGTCACAAGAAAATTTTGTTTCCTCCTTATGAAGTCAATTAGCTCAGTAACTAACAAAAAATGTTTGTCTTTCTGGTATCAATCTGAACATGTCCAAACTATTTCTGTTTGCTTAACGTTTTAAAAGGTTACGGGAAATCAGTGTTCTGTCATTGCTATACAAATGTAAGTTGAAGGGTTTTCCAAAAGTTATTTATTGTTTATTGAGTTATTTACTGTGTTCACATGAGTGCGTCTACAGAGTCCTGCATAAGTGCCATAGATATAGGTCATAGGGGCATATTTGTGATTCAGATCTAGTGACAAGTAAACTTAGACTCACTCCGTCAGTGCTTAGAGCAAGTAAATGCCTGGATGCAATTAAACTTCCTTCAGTTAAACAAAGACAAGACTGCTTAGCTATTGTTTTTGGCAACAAGAAGTAAAGGACAACAGTTATTGATCAGCTCAATTCTAGAGCTATAAAGACAAAAACTGAAGTTAGCAACCTTGGTGTCATAGTTGACTCAGACCTGAGTTTCACCAGTCACATCAAGGCCTTTTTATCATCCAAAACAAATGGCAAGACTCAGAGTTTTAACGAGAACCAGGAGAAATGACCACATCACTCCTGTTCTTAAATGTAACACTGGCTACCAGTTACCTACAGAAAAAAAGTGCTTCTGCTAGTTTATAAATCATTTCATGTTATGGAGCCAAAATACAGCTGATCTCCTTGAAGAATATAAACCCAGCAGGGCTCTGACATCCTTAGGAAGCAGTCAGCCGGTAGAACCTCCGATCAAAACCAAACAGGGTGAAGCTGCTTTTCGCTGTTATGCTGCACACAGATGGAACCAACTTCCTGAGGACCTTAAATGAGTTCCAACACTGCCACTTTCACCAGTGTAAACAGTGTGTCACTGTATGTATTTGGCCATTTTAGACAATGTTGCATGTCGGTGAACAGATTTCTGTCTGTTTATTTTAGACATTTTCAGAAAATCACTTTAGATTATCAGTATTTTGATATATCTACATATGTTGCATGTACTATCATACCGTAGATCAAATCACAGACTCCTAATCTGATCATAGATGTATTTCCAGTATAACCCTCTATAAACCATCATTCACAGAAAACAAAACAAGCTAAATAATGGGTTGAAGCCCCATTTTTTGTTTTGTGTGTTGACTTGCATCAGACACCTGCTGAGGATTGTGTATATACAAATACAGTATTTTAGATTCCTGTCTGTCCTGGAATGTGGATGCTAACACACACACACACACACACACAGATAAATAAGGACAGCTGTAAAGCATTTCAAATAACCTCATGGTACTTTATTCACTGGGAGCAGGACATAAAGGCAGTCTAACTTAAGATGTCTGGCACAGTAATTGGAGATTGTACACCAGATTGTATTGCCCTTCACAAGTTGCAGACCTAAAAGCAAAACTAGACAGTGGGATGATTTAGTTATGTAGAAAAATGCAGTTCAGTACTTTTATTTTCCTGTGATCCAGCAAGGATAAGTCTGGACCAGTCTGGACACTTTCACAGGCTGCACATTTACCAAAACCTGTTTCTGATGTACTCATTAATAGTATTGCTGTATAAATCCTGCCAGCAGCAGACAGACTTACAGACTCAATCACAGACAACCTTGAACAAAAACAACAAACTACTGTAATTAATAAATGTAGGTTATTAGTACTTTTGGTTCAGTGCATCCTCCTAGAGGTTAACAAGACATGTTATCTACAGAGCCACAGTAGATTGTGCTTCAATTCAGTCATAACAGGATGTGTATATCCTTATGTGGCTGATTGAAAAGAATCATTTTAGACAATGAATGATTATAATTGAGATTAGATGTGGTCATAGATTTTAAATGTAGCCCATAATGTATTTATTTAGCAGCGCATCAGTGGCGTGAGTGAGTGCAGTAGGAGTACGTGCGCGGCGTCGTGGGCCTCATGATGTTCTCTGTGATATATGCCACCAGCAAGCAGATGATGACCAGCATCACACAAATAGCTCCCCCAACTGTTGTCATGGCAATCACAATGTCCTGCATCCCAGACTGAGGCAGGGTGAACTCTATGCAGTCCCGTTGTTCTGCCCTTCGAGACGGATCGTAGAGGGCCAGGGGACGCAGGCAGAGCCGGTAGGGGATGTTCTCATGCAGCTCAGTCAGGAGGTAGTCCCGGCAGCCTGATCCCAGATGGACACTGGCACACTCAAACTGAGTATAGCTTCCATTCCACCAGCAGCTTAACTCATAGCCTCCACGTCTGTGGCGACGGCCACTGAGAACAGTGTTTGACTGTAGAGTTTCTTCTCTTCTTATAGCCATCCCAGGATCATCACCATTCTTCTGACCGGCTGCAGTGTCTTTTGTCTTCATATTTTGGCCAGTCATTGTGGATTCTCCTTCATGGGTCCACTGTAACAGTACACTGCCATTGATGAGAATATTTGCCACTAGATTCCCCAAAGACACTGCTGTCCTGCAGTCTCCCTTACGACACTTGTACCCAAACAGTGTGTGCCGAAAACACAGTTGCCCCCCAATGCCTCCCTCGATCACTCGGTAAGCACACAGAGGTGATGCTCCTTCCTCTGGAATCCAGCTTGGTGCCCTGCCAGACCTTTGAGAGATCACAGTAGTAATATTGCCTCTGCTGGTATTAAATGAGAAACTATTCACATGGCGTGTTACCTCTTTAAGCTTTGGTGACGGCCTGTTTTTGTGGCTGTGATTGCCATAGTTATTCTGTTTTAGCCGGTCTTGGGGCGTCCCCACATTATTCCTGCCTCTCACCTCTGATGGGGATGTTGTTGTTGATAATGATGTAGATGATGCTGAGCTGCTGCCATGAGCTCTGCTGGACACAGCTGTCTGGTGTAGTGTGCAGAGCAGGAGAGCCACTAAGGCGAGCAGTGTTGGTCGTTGTTGGCTTTTCATCTCACTTCCTCTCGTCGAATTATTGTCTCTCACAGTGGATCAGATGGGCGATGGTAGAAGGAGGGCTGATGTCTGCCATAAGATCAGCTCATTCCCAGTGCTCACCACGAAATCCGTGTGAATCAGAATAGCGCGTCCATGGGCGAGAGGCACAGGTATGCATCTGCGACAGAAATACCGTTTAATCATGCGGCGATCCACTTAGTAAGAGATCCGTGAATGACCTGGCAGAGGATAAACCAGCGGGATGGAGTTAATAAATCCTAAATGGTGATAAAGGGCAGCGCTTCAGTGTTGCTTCAGGCTCGCAGGCAATACTAAAGCCACTTGTTTCGGTGGGGCGAGTGGACCCGGCTGTCGTGCCTTCAGATTTGCTTTCTTCTTCCTGTCTGGCTTGACGTAAAGGCTTTGATGCCCGCTGTGCGAGAGTGCACGTGGAGGAGCGCGCGTCGCGTGGGAGCGTGGGTGCGTGTACGAAATATTTGTAGTCATAAACAGTGGGTTTGTGAGTCATCATCCCACACACAGGGCTTCAGGTGTCTGTCAGTAACAAAGACAACAGAGACCTGACGACGCAGATGGATGGAGAGTTTAAACGAACGTCGTTCACCTGTACGTCTCTCACATCCAGCTGTTAGGCCTGCCTGCAAACAACACTTTCAGCAATGTCCAAAACGGTTTTCCTAAGAAAAAAGGATGTTTTTGCTAATCCTGTATTCTTTTGACAGTTAGTTATAGAGTCATACAGAGCTAGACGTAGTGTTGGTTAGATAGAGTCTATAAGATAAAATGATTAATCAGTCAAATTAATAGTTTTGGTCATTGTTGTGGTTATTTATTAAACAGATAAATCAGCAAATTTTGTTGATTCGGCACAGATCGCATTGACCCAAATACCTTTCAATAAAGAAAACTAATCATATACATAATATAGATAAAACATTCTCTAATTCTTTCTTATTTGTTAACTTGTGGTTGTTATGTTGTGATTGTTACATTATGGTTACTTAAATTCCAAAAAGTCTTCTGACAAGCACAATGGAGAAAATCCACTATTGGTGTATGATCAACAAGCATAATTGTTCTCCACAATACATTTAATTAAGCAGTGCTTTGGTGATATTATTCTAAACAATGATTGCCTCATCCCAAGAGAGTAACTTGGCAGCCCAGTAAACAATTAGTACCAAGGGAGACTATGAACAGCTGACTATAAGAAAAAATGCAGCATCAGTGGGACTGACTCAGCACCAACAGTCCCTGAAAGGTCACATTGGATAATTGGTTAAATCTGTTGACCCCCATCTACTGATGTGATTGTTCAGACCAAGACACAGCGCCACATTTGCGGTTGGTCGGTGATGTGGAAAGAAAACATGTAAAATACCTGTCTGTACATGTACACTCAAAGCATCAACTCAACTGACCTTGAACATGCTCAGCGAGATGACACCCTCTGTGTTTTTGTGTGTCTGCCCCGCACATTATGGCACGTTTGTGCACATATAAAACGGCATTAGCAAACATTAGCAGCAGTAGTAGCCTTGACATCTCTCTCTGCTACACACATACTCTACACAAAAGAAAAGCAAACCATGTCGCCATGCAAAGGATGATGCCATGTCAGAAGTCCTTACTGTAGAAGCTATTTTGTTTGGGCTCTTGGTTTTTTCTGGCATCCTAGGAAACATCCTGATCATCCATGTGGTAAGATAATAAGGAATATTATATTTGCATGCTTCTGGTATGAATGTTCTCAGTCTTTCTTGCTTTTACTCTCAGGTGTTTCAGTCAGCCGGTGAGAGTCCGTCTCAGAGACTCCCTCCTTCTGATAGTTTTTTGGTGCACCTGTCGCTGGCCAACCTGCTTACCTCACTTTTCCGCACAGTGCCCATCTTTGTGTCAGATCTGGGCCTGAATCTGTCTCTGTCTCCAGACTGGTGCCGAGTCTTCATGCTGCTTTGGGTGTGGTGGAGAACTGTGAGCTGTTGGCTGACACTATCACTTAGTGTCTTCCACTGTACTACCCTGAGACGGCAGCAAGTGAACTTTGGACCTTTTGCGCAGCAGAGGGATAGGCGGCGGGTATGGATTGTTCTGGGCTTGGTGTGGGGGGCAACCCTGGCTTTCTCTGTTCCAGCTCTTGTATATAGTACCCGTGCTTACGGCAACACCACAGTGGAGCTGATGGTGATCAGCTGCACTACCAGGCCTCTACTGGGCTGTGTCTGGCAGTTCCCCTCTAAAGAACTGGGCTCAGCCTTTGCCTCTACTTCACTTGCGCTCAATGAGCTGCTGCCACTGGTGATGATGGTTTGTACTAATCTGGCCACACTTCACTCTTTGATCAAGCACATCAGAGCTGTCACTTCAGGGAGTGAGTCAGGTGGAGCGCTGGACAAACAGGTGATCAGTGAACGCAAGGCAGCTCATGTCATCATGTCACTGGTGTCCCTCTTTGTGGTCTGCTGGGTGTTACAGATCGCTGCGGTGACATACTACAACCACAATAGGGGACAACATGTGGAAGGGCTGCTGACCGTGGCCCAGTTTTCTGCCTCACTCTTTGGAGGATTCAGTCCCATGGTGGTGGCCCTGGGGCATGGCAAGCTGAGGAAGCGAATCATGAGCATGTTCCTGGGGTGGTCTAAAGCTCTTAAATGTCACAGTGGGGACACTGAAAAGGGGAGAAAATCACCAAAGACTAAAGGGATAAAAAGGAAAGCAAAAAAACATATTTCTTCTCCAAAAAGAGAGGGAAGTCATAAAAACAGTGAGAAAAATTAATGCAAAACAAAGATACAAAATGTGACTGAGCTTCTTTAAACACTGAAAAATGCAAAATCATAAGAAAGATCTCTTTGAACCTTCTGGACTGTAAAATAAAGATATCACACCAACTGTTGGTTCTGTTTTCATGAAGGAGAGTCTTCACCGGGTCACATAACACAAATCCTTATTCACTTTATAAGGCAAAGCGTGGCTGCTTTATTTATATAGCACATTTCATACACAGGCAATTCAAAGTGCATCTTCTTTTTCCATTAAATTGATCTCCAGTCACATTCATACATGACGGTTTGCAGAGAGAAATGTCCTATATTCACACCAGTGGCCATGAACCTCTTTTAACTAGTTCTGAGGGAAGATGATGCTAATAATAGTTCATGGTTAACAGTATTGTGTGACCTGCACATCCATTGCTTCAGCAGAATGTAATGTTGACCAGAATCTACAGTTGAAGTCAGAAGTTTACATACACCTTAGCCAAATACATTTAAACTCAGTTTTTCACAACTCCTGACATTTAATCCTATAAACACTTCCTGTCTTAGGTCAGTTAGGATCACTGCTTTATTTTAAGAATGTGAAATGTCAGAATAATAGTAGAGAACAAGATTTATTCCACTTTTGCCTTATTTCATCACATTTCCAGTGGGTCAGAAGTTTACATTCACTTGGTTAGTATTTCATAGCATTGCCCTTAAATTGTGTAACTTGGGTCAAACAAACATGTTGCAATGCCTTCCACAGGCTTCTTACAATAAATTGCTAGGATTTCAGTCCATTCCTCCTGACAGGACTGGTGAAACTGAGTCAGGTTTGTAGGCCTCCTTGCTCACACACACTTTTTCAGTTCTGCCCACTAATTCTCTATTGGATTGAGGTCAGGGTTTTGTGATGGCCACTCCCAATACCTTGACTTTGTTGTTCTTAAGCCATTTTGACACAGCTTTCAAAGTCTGCTTGGGTCACTGTCCATTTAGAAGACCCACTGGTGACCAAGCTTTAACTCCCTGGCTGATTTCTTGAGATGATGCTTCAATATCCACATAATCTTCCTTCCTCATGACGCCATCTATTTGGTGAAGTGGCCCAGTCTCTCCTGCAGCAAAGCACCCCCCACCACCGTGCTTCATGGTTGGGAAGGTGTTCTGAGAGGTACTGAGTTTGAAGACAGACCTTAAAATGCATCCACAGGTACACCTGCTATCGACTCACATGATGTCAGTTAGCCTATCAGAAGCTTCTAAACCATGACATCATTTTCTGGACTCTTCCAAGCTGTTTAAAGGCACAGTCAACTGAGTGTATGTAAACGTCTGACCCGCTGGAATTGTGATTATAGTGAATTATAAGTGAAACAATCGATCTGTAAACAACTGCTGGAAAAAAAATTTTGTGTCATGCATAAAGTACATGTCCTAACCAACTTGCCAAAATGAGAGTTTGTTAACATGACATCTGTAGAGTGGTTAAAAAATCAGCCTTAATGACTTCAACCTAAGTGTATCTAAACTTCTGATTGTATGTCATTAAGTGAGCAAAGACCTGATAAAAGAGCGTAGCCGCCGATGGCTAAATGCCAGAGTGACAGGTGACACGGCAATGAAGATAATGTTAGAAAACCGAGAAAGGACCAGAAAAAACTCAGTCGATGAGCTGTGGTTGTAGTTGAAATAGCTGACAGAGGCAACGCTGGTTCCCCAGCAGGCAATGAACAGCATTATGAGTGTGAGAATCACCTGGAGGAACACAAAAGGCAAAGCATGGGGGCAGGGAAACCCACACACTGATATATTATGAAAGCAGTTCACTTTGTGTCCAGTAACAATTTAGCTAAAACAGTTTATATAATAGCTATGTTCCATTTATAAAGTTACAAGTCCACTGTATATTAAACATTTTAATTTACAACTCATACATGGTCTCAGCGAGATCATAGAGCAAATAAACCCTCTCTTGTTTCTTACCTTGGCTGCTCGTCTCTCCGCAGGA